CGGTCCGATGAGTTTACAATTATTATTATTATTATTATTTTTTTTTTTTTCCTTTTTTAACGTTATTGACATATAAAAAGTGTTTATTGTTTAGGTACTTTAGAAATTTATACATCAACTTTATTTTTTTTTTTTTTTTATAAATCTATACTCCGAAAAGAAATAGAAATTTTTTTTTTTTTTTTTTTTTTTTTTTTTTTTTGTATTATTTTATTTCGTTTTTGAATACATAGTTCTGGATTCTTACCTATGGCCTAGAGTACTCCATCTAGTTTGGTTTCTCGCAAAAAGTTTATTAGTTCTTTAAAAAGCTCAGGTTTTTTAGTGGTGATAATTTCATTTATGGTCTTGTACGTGTCAAAGAGTTTAAACTTCGTTCTCATAGCGTTGTACCTATCACAGTGGAAGATTTGATGATCAGGAGTTTCCAGCGTATTGCAAGTGTTGCAGTATTCACTAACATTTGGTACAAATTGTTGTAAATAGATGCTGTTGTATGTGTGTCCGGTAATTAGTCTGTTGAGGAGCTTCATGTCATAAGGCTCTAAGTCAAATCTCTTGTCCTTAAACCAAGGTCGTCTTTCCTTTGTCGCAAAACTATTGATGATATTATGGTCCCAGTCTACACATTTTTCCTTTATCTTGTCCTTAGTCTCTGTCCATAGTAGAGTATTGATTTGTATAACTGCCTCTTGTGGCGTTAAGTCAATCGAAAGCGTCTGGCCGTGATTCACTGCAGTTTTAGCTGCAATGTCAGCTTTTTCATTACATGCTACGCCTACGTGGCTGGGTACCCACATGATGACTGCAGTTTCTACTTGTGAATTGGCAATTTGATTGTGGATTTCGGCCTCTATATGGTTCTGGGTTAACGGTCGTTTTAACAGTTTTACAGCAGCCAAGCTGTCTGTAAAAATGCATGGTTTATTCCACTTATATTTTTTAGCAAGTTTGACCGCCTGTAACAGTCCTACTAATTCCCCAAACGTCGTCGACCGGTAAAAGGGTATGTTGTATAAGTAGGAGACGTTATTAGCTGTGTCGTATACAGCACAACCAACTATATTTTCACTCACGGAGGCATCAGTCGCTAATATGTGAAAACCCTGATCAAGATAGTATGCTTGTTGTTCTCTAAAGATAGCTTGTAGTTGTTCATGCGCCACATTGTTTTTGGACTTGTTAAGATTTGAGTCTATTAATTTGAGATTGGGGTGTCTGATGAAAGTAGTGTTTGTGTTAATTTGATTGAAAATGTCCTTAAATTTCTCAAAGGTGTGGCTGTAGCTTGATTTGACCGGTCTACTATTTTTTAGTTGTGTTCTTAAATCTGGATTGAGAAACCATTGCTTGGTCAGCTCTTTTGAAGTTAACCAAACTGCTCTTGCTAGCGGTGGCAGCTCGCATGCTATGGCATATCGAGCTAGGGTTGGTGTGTTAGGGGGAACTCCTAAGCATCTACGCAGGGATTCATTTGCTATTGTTTGTAGTTTTTTGTTGTAGCAGTTCGGAGCATTGGCATAGCTGGTGTTGCTGTATTCCATCTTGGATCTTACGAATACTTTGAATAGGTTGAGCCCTATTCTGGGTGTTAACCCCGCTTTTATTGTAGTCAGTTTTGCAAGTAAATTTTTACCTGTTGTTATTTCGTCTTTGACCTTTCCAACTTGCCCTTTGATTGTCGAGTTCGAGTTAATAATTCTACCCAGCCATTTTGTTGTGACTACCTGCTCAATTTGGTTACCACTGATTGTTAGTTCAAAGTTTCTTTTGTTCCCTGCAGAAAGGTACATGAATTTCGTTTTTTCCAAGTTGAAATTCAGGTTTATAGAGTTGCAGATCCCATGGATGTTAATTATTTGGGTTTTTAAATTGAGGATTGCAGCTTTTTCCGACTTGCAGTGCGAAATTATTGCTATGTCATCTGCAAATTGAAAAACTTGCGTTTTGCTATCGTTTATACAGTGAAGCTTGGCCGTGTAAATATTGAACAGTATTGGTGACAAACAGCTACCTTGAGGGAGTCCATTATTGACTTCCACCGCATGTGGCCCTAGAGTCAGTATTCTCGAGGAGAAGAAGTTTTTCGTCCAATCAGCAATTTTTGGGTTTATGTTATATTCCAACAGCGTGCGGTGTAAGATTTCGAGGTCGACCCCGTTGTATGCATCAGTTATATCTAGGAAGCAAATAAAAACTTTTTCGTTGTTACTCTTTTTGTCAGCTACAAAATGCAGGGTTTCGTTTAAGCACATTGATGACGATCTTTGTTTTCTGTACGCAAAGCTTTTTTGTGGGATTATATTTCGCAACTCTACTTCTTCTACCAGGGCATCTTTGATGAGCATATTGAGGCTCTTCGCAACAACTGAGATCAATGATATTGGCCTAAAGTTTTTTAAGTCATCCAATTCTTTATTTGCTTTGGGAATAGGAACAATTCTGATTCACCTCCACGACTCAATGACTTCGTTGTTATGGTAACTTGATTCCAAGG